CCTTGTGTTCATCCACCACCTCTGGCTCTTACACGCTTTCTGCCCTGTCTTCTACAGTGATCCCTGAACCTTCGGAGGAGAGGGTGTGATGTATGTATTCCATTTAGGGCTGAGCACGGCCCCATCTCTTATTTTCCGCATATTGACCATCTGTGGGTCTCTCTGTGATTTATCCATCTGCTGTAAGAGGCTGTTTTGGTGAGAAATGAGGGATGTGATGTGCTAATCTATGGGCATAACAATAAGTCATTAGGAGTTGGTTTAATACTGTGTCCATTTTGCAGGATAATGCAGTGGGTTCTCTCCTACAGCCTGTGTCCTGTCTAGTCACAGGGTCTTGGCCCTGATGACAGTGCCAGTTATGGCACCATCTTGTGAAGTGCACTTCAAATCTAGTCAGAAAGTGGTAGGTTACGCCCATAACATTTTTCTGATGTCGCACCAGTGGACATGTCTTGCCAGGATGGTTGTTATTGTATTTTCAGGGTTCACAGTGGGGTAAGGCTTAGGATTGCTTTCTCTTCCAGTAGCACGCAAAGCACTTTCCGGAACTCTGGAAAGCTATCCAGTAGGGATAAGGCTCCAGGTCAGTGCCATCTTGATTTCTCCTTGTTTGTTTGACTCATGTATGTGGTGTCTTCAGCAACAGGGTCTGACCATCAAGTTCTAGAGGGTAACCAAGAGCTGTGCCAATAGCCAGTATTGTTTGAGGGGACCCTGCCCCCGTCAACAACTCCAAAGAGGGAGCATACTCCTGGCACTGGACTTTTTATTTGCTAGGCTGTGAGGCCTGGTACGGATATTGCTCTCCTATTCAAGAATAACCCCATTTATTCTCTTTTTCTCTATGTACATATTTTTAGATAACCTGCCTTTCCTCCCACGAAGCTCCCCCCCCACACGTCCTTAGTCCCTAACTAGTTTCCCAACCTCTATGGATTTTCCAATTGCAACACACACACCTAAAGTGTTAAAACGAGTATCTACATATGAGAGAGAACATCTGAGGTTTGTGTTTCTGAGTCTGGGTTATGTCATGTAAGATGAGGGCTTTTTCAAGGCCCTGTGCGTGCTAACCAGGATCCCGTCCATTGGTCAGTGGTGGACAGCTCAGCCTCTAGCCCCTTTCTTCCTTAGATCTGGCGGGCTGAAAGTTCCAAGTCTCTGGTCCTGTCTGGTTTATGGGGACAGCCCCGCACCAAGGTCACAGGGATCCCCCTGTGCAGTCAACTCACTGGCATACAAAAGAGGCTGTTAGCACTCTGGGGCTTTGGGTGTTAGGGAGTAAGAGCCAACCTGTTCCCACCGCTGTGACAGTCACTCCTTCCTCCTGTTCCCACTGCTGTGACAGTCACTCCTTCCTCATCCGTTTTTGCATTTTTATCGAGGTTGGGTAAAGATTATGTTACTCATTTACATAATTTTATTGGTCAATAGTCTATGTATAACAAGAATAAAATGTCTTACATATAAAAATATACATTTAAATTTATGACTAAATTTGCATATCCATGATTATTTTCTTCTGGGGAATCAAGGAAATTTCTGGAATGTCTGGTTGCTTCTCTCTTGTGGGTCAGGGTGGGTGGTGTGAAGGAAGGTACTGTTTTCTAACTCTTCTTGAGACCCTGGCAGTGGGGGATGGGTATGGCCTGTGAGCTCTGAGCCTGAACTCGAAAGGAAAGGAAGGAAGGAAGGAAGGAAGGAAGGAAGGAAGGAAGGAAGGATGTAGCTGCAGGAGGTGGGTGAGTGGCACCCTGATTCTTTTCCTCCTTTTGGAGGCTTCAGGCTTTCCTGGGCTGGGCTTAGGCTGACCGGTTGGGTGGGTGGCAGGCAGGTGTGACAGACCTCAGGAGGGGAATATGGTGGTTAATGAAGGACCCTGGCTGGATTATTTTCCCCATTTTGCAAGAGCAGTGACTTGCTGCAGTGTCCTTAGCTGAGGCTTTGTGCCAGGCATCTACTTGTCTGGTCTGTGTGTTCACTGGCCACTGTCACTGTCTCGCTGCCTGCGAAGCCTGTCTGAGGGAACCTGTAGTTAAGTTTGACCTGAAGACAGAGAGCAGGTGCAGTGTTTGGTTGTTTTTCGACACATAAATCAGATTCCAGTCTTGGTATCTGGGTTTTGGTGTTACAGTATGGGTGTCTGTGCTCCTGAGGTCTTAATGTCTGGCATGGGGGCTTATGCCTGGGGCCCCCTGCCCGTGGTGATGACATTAGGAGCTAGCTGCTCCTATCTCCCTTCAGCTTCTCTCTGAAGGGTCACTTTGGCCGAGAGCCTTAAGAGAAGATGAGAGGATGAGGTTGGCCTATCCCATGTCCCCAGGGGGATGCAGATACACAAAGCCAGGCAAGGCATGGGTCTGGGGACTGAGTATTTTCTTTGAGATCGAGTCTGCCTGTAGTCCCAGCTGGCCTGGAACGTGACCAAGCCAGCTTTGATCTGAGATCTGCCTGTCTCTGCCTCCTGGGTGCTGGGATTAAAGACATATTCCTCCATGCCTCGCTTGGGGCTGAGCTTTGAAGGACAGTTTTGGACTCACCTTTTTTTATAGTGGTATTTCCAGTTATACCCACTGTGATGTGGAGCTGTTCAGAGTTCCTCAGGGACTCAAATCCTTACTCCTGTGGCCAGAACTGGTGCGATCCTCTGAACCCTGGGTGGTCTTGGGCAAGTTTTATGTGTGGTGTGTGGCACTGTGGATCCATCCACCACCATAATAACCACAGTGTATCAGGCTGGCACAAATTCCTCTCCACTGTGGGCAGCATATAAGCTCCTCCCTGCAGGGTACCCTGGACTAACAGTACTCCTCAGCTCTCTACTTCTGAGTGGGTTAGTCTGAGTACATGAGGTTGCTGAGTGCCCTTCCTGGGTGTCCACGGCAGGGTGTGTGTGTGGGCACGTCCTGTGAACCTTCTTGCTGAAAAGCAGATGTGGCCAGCTATTTCCTGTGGGCAGGGATGGTGCCGCCATCTGAGCTCTGGATGTCGTCAGAGCAAGTTTTGTGTGTGGTGTGTGTCATTTGGGCCCCATCCACCGCTATAATAACCACAGTGTTTCAGGCCAGCATAAATTTCCTTCCAATGTGGGCTGCATCCAGGCTCCTCCCTAACAAGATCCCCTTGGGTATGTTAGCAGTCCTTAGCTCTCCACTTCTGAGTGGACTGGTCTGGCTGCTGGGTGCCCTTCCTGGGTGTACATGGCAGTCTGTGTATGCAGGCCAGGGCATTGGGGTCTTCTTGATGAATAGCAAATGTGAGAAGATGTCTCCTGTGGGCAGAGATCGTGCCACAGTATGAGCTCTAGGTGGCCTCAGGGCAAGTTCTGTGTGTGGTGTGTGGCACTGTGGACCAGTAACTCCCATATAGTAAGCACGGTGCCTCAGGCTGGTACAAATTCCTCTCTACTGTGGGCTGAATCCAGGCCCCTCCCTCGCAGGATCCCCTGGGATTACAGCAGTTTTCAGCCCTCCACTTCTGAGTGGGTCGGTCACGGTGCTCAAGGCTGCTGGGTGTCCTTTCTGAGTGGTGTGTGTGGTGTGTGTGTGTGTGTGTGTGTGTGTGTGTGTGTGTGCATGTCTGCCTCCTGACTCTCCTTCTCCAGGCACCCGTCTTTCTAGGATGGAGATATGTATGAGGTATGTGCATGAGATATCCATGAGGTATCCGCTGGCCTGGATGGCCTCATCTTGCTCTTGGGGTTGGCCTGGAAGGGTTTCTGGCCTAGTGAGTGTTACTGTGGGAGTCTGTATCCCAGCTCACAGTGACAGAGACTCCAGCAGAAACCTGTTAGGCTGTGGGGCCCCCCTTTAGTTGGACTCAGTCCCTTGGGGCCTATCTGTTCTGGCAGTGTGTATGTGATGTTCCTCAACTCTGGGTTCTTCTCTCCTGAGATTTAAGAGTTTCCAGTCCGGTGCAGATGTTCTTGTGTGTAGTTATGCCGTGTGGGGTTGGGGCACCACAGAGGTTGGCTGTACACAGCCAGTAGGCACCATGACAGAGGCCCTAACAGTATGGCCAGTCCATGCCCACCAATACCATCTCTACTGGGGCTATCTGGGGTCAGAACTGAGAGCCCAACCCAGGCCTGGGGTTCCCTACACCCATTCTGGTTGTCACTCAGAGCTATTGGCTCAGGGCACCTGGGGCGGTTGGGCTGCCCAGTGTGTGTGGGTCAGTTACTTCAGTGGGCTACTGCAGTTGAGGGATCAGGTTCATCTGGGGTTTTGAGACTGGCCTGAACCACCATGGAAAATATTCCACAGTGAGAGAGGCCCATTCAGAATCCCCCTCCTGTGGGCCTTTCACCACACTGGGCTGGGTGGGGACTGTGGGCCCCAGAGGGAAAGAGGTAGAGGCTGAGACAGAGCCCTCCTCAGCGGAGCTCTGCTGTTTCTGTACCCTGCAGTTGCCCTGTGGCTGACTCTGTAAGAGATGGGATGTGCAGACAGACGGGTGTCCACTGGCCCGGGGTGGAGGAACAGTGGGCTGGTTCATGGACTCTGGGAGTTATCTCATCAAGGACCCAGGACCTGCTGATATTTGTGCCCCAGCCTGCAGGAGATACATGAGAAAGAGCAGAGGTCCCATTGTAGCCTCACTGTGACAAGGCCTCACAGTGCAGCTGTCCCTGCCCCCATGCTCCTTCCTTGTGGTACTTTGGCAGTGAGGGCAGAGGAATTTTCAGGGGAGTAAAGGGAGAGGCCTGGGCTCTGGATGGTGCCGGTCAGGATGGGGATCCCTGGGTAGAAGTGGTAGGCTCTTGTGGACTCCCAGATGGCCAACCTTCTCATCCCTGAGCTCCCAGCAGGAGCCAGCGTGTGTGTGGGGCTTTGCACAGGACCCTCTGATCCTCCATCACTGCAGGTAAGGCAGGGTAGAGTGGGAGCCTCTCCAGAGAAGGGCAGGGCAGGGGCACTCAGTTCTGGGAATTCAGGCTGGTGAACTCTGGCATGCAGCATGTGCCTTCATATCCATCCTCTGTGCCCCCTGACGTGATGGTCCAAGAAGGGCCCAGAACCTACCCTCCTGAGGTGAGCAGGAGGCTCAGAGCTACTCTTGCCCCTTTGTGGCCTCCACCTTCTTTCTAACCAATGAGCTCCTATGCAGCGGAGGTCAGACTCAGCTTCAGCACGTGCTCCTGTCGGCCTCCTGCAGATCCAAGTCCAGCCAAGCATCTCCTTGTGGTCCCTGAGCAAGGAAATTAGTCCTTTGATGGGGCTGTGATGGGGGCACTTTTGCCTTATGGGTGCCAGGTAGCGATGGACAAATCAGAGGTTTCTGAGTGACTTCGTGGGGGCTGAGACCAGCCTGGAGGGTTCCCCTGGGCTCTCTTGGGGAACGATCTTTAGAGCCCTTCTAACAGGAAGAGCAGTGATCATGGGTGGAAGGCCAGGTGGCTTCTGCTGGTGTGGCTGAACTCTGGGTTTGAGGCTGTTGGGGGCAGAGGCTGGGGTGCTTTGCGGGTCCCTGTGGTCACTTTGGAGCATTGTTCAGTGGGTAGATGCTCTGTGAAGACTAGCAGCCAGGATTCCGATGCAGATCCTTAGATGCCAGCTCCTCCAGACCCACCATGGCTCTGAGCTGAGGAGTCTGCAGGGGCCCAAAAGTTTCCACTGTGTTTTTGTTACTGGGTCCATCACTCTGGGGGTACCCGTAATAACACAGTAGCATGTCCTTTCACAAAAAGCCCTGCCTATGGAAGGGAGTCCTAGCTCTGCTGGTCCAGGGTTCAGCCGGGAACAGAGAGCAAGCAGTGCAGAGTCTCTCAGAGTCCATCTTAAGCCAAGGTCCAGCATCCCCTCCTGGGCTTGTGTCTCTTCAGGAAGGGCTTGGGACAGAAGCAGGTCACTGGCAATGCAGCAAAGCATCGGGCTGCTGTGGAGGGGCCTGACTGTTCCTCCTTCCTCCTGCTCCTGGTAGATCCAGGAGGAATGCTCCATCTGACTGTGCTTCCCCTGTGCTTGCAGATTGGCCAAGTTTGCTCAAACGTGGTGGGGACCCACAGTTCCCCGTTTTCTGTTGCAATCCATGAAGTTCCTTTGCCTGTGACTTTCTGTGTCACCTGTGGGAGGTAACTCAGGTCAGGGCCAGTGGGTTTTGCACATGGACGGACATTGCAGGCCCCACTTGGCACATGCTGCTTGCAGCCCCTTGGCCCTGTGTGTTTCAGGGTGAGCTTTTGAGCAGAGCCTGTGCCACTGTGGGAGTAGCAATAACCCCGTGTACAGTATTCTCACTGTGACATAGGCCCCCACAAAATCCCGGGCCATCGCTGCTGTCACAAGCCACCTGGCTGGCTCAGGGCAGGCTCTGCAGTGGCATCTATTGTTTCTAGTGCACTTGGGTCTGAAACTTAAGCCAAGGCTGACTCTGACTCAGACCTCTGAGGTTTCTGGGTGGTCCTGGGGTGACATCTCGGTCTAGGAGAGGGGGTCACTGTGACATAGGCCCCCACAAAATCCCGGGCCATCGCTGCTGTCACAAGCCACCTGGCTGGCTCAGGGCAGGCTCTGCAGTGGCATCTATTGTTTCTAGTGCACTTGGGTCTGAAACTTAAGCCAAGGCTGACTCTGACTCAGACCTCTGAGGTTCCTGGGTGGTCCTGGGGTGACATCTCGGTCTAGGAGAGGGGTCTCCTGGTGAGCTAGCCATACGCATCCCTCCCTCCTATGCCTCTGCCATGCCTGGCAGGGCTCTTGGGTGGGGTTTTCCTGGTGGTGTCTGGCGGCTCTGGGTCTCTATCTTCATTCTTTTCCATGTGCCCCTTACAGTTCCCTTGTCCCTAATATGACCAGAAGATTTCGTTCACTCTTTCCCAACCTGGTGTCTGATCCTGGCAGCCACTCTAGGACTGTAGTCAGACCCTGAACATTTACCACCGCTGGAACTCCAGGCAGCAGGGACAGCACGAGCGGAGTGGGCACAGAGATGTCAACTTTCAGTCCTCTGAGGGCTAAGTGGTCACATGGCCGCCTCTTCCCAGTCCTGCAGCAGGAGTGGCTCCTTGTAAGCCTGGTGCTAGGAACAAACAGGCTGGTGCTAGGAACAACCAGGCTGTTGTGTCCTGGTGGCTCTGGAGGGGCTTTTGTTTGTGGTTCTAGAGAGAGGTGGGATGCTGCCCTGGTCCTCTCCGTCTGGGGAACCTACTCACCTGCATTTCCACCTGTGCCCTGATGGCTGGGCCTTCATCATGGTAGCAGGAAGCCCCGCTGTCTGCAGTGCCATGTCCATTTGGCCATGGACCCCTTTCAGGACCCATCCTGGAAATTTAGGGGGCATCATCACCACTAGTTCTAGGACAGGTTCAGGGCAGTCAGGACTGAGGGATGCTGGCTATTCACCTTCTCTATCACTGCAGGATGGCTATGTGCTGTGCTGTTCCTGTCTAGCTCTGGTACCAGTTGGTGATTGTCTGGGTGCCTGGGCACAGGTGTCTAGTTTTAGAACCTATTTTTTTCTGGTGGTGTTGGCTCTTTTAAGACACAAGCCCCACAGAGATGCCTAGGTGTCTTGGAGCCTTGTCTTACATTTTTTTCCCAGTGATGGTTTCGTGAGTTTTCCTGTTTAAAGTTAGCTCTAATCCTTAGCAAGGTGTCGTGAGAATTAAAACAGCTGATACTAGTTAAGGTAGCTGAGCCAGGCTTTTCAGAAACTGCTAACAGTAGGGGAGAAGCGGGCCTCTGCTCCTGTTGGTGCCAGATAAAGGCCTTCCTAACCGAGAGGGGCGGTGGGAAGAGGAGCCAGGCACTGCAGAGTTGGGGAAGTAAAAGATTACCAGGAGTTGTCTGGAGTCCAGTCCAAGGATGAGGGTGGCTGCATTTGAGGGTTGCTGTGGTTGATGTCATGATTCTGTCCTCCTGTAGATATTGGGGGACACATGTCCCACTTCCTGATGTGCATTGTGGGAGAGGCTCTGGGATCCAGAAAGATGCTCCTGGGATGTAAGATACATGGACATCTTGCATGGGAAGATTCACAATTGAAGGCCTCTTCAACAGATGCCTGAAGAGTGGGGGGCAGGTGCCAGCTGGCCAGTCAGTTCTCTCTGTGTAAACAGCTAGGGTACCCTAGGACAGGACTTAGTGCAACAGCCTTCAAATCTTGGATGCTGTGGTTGAAATTGGTTGTTTCTTCATGCAGGAGCTTGGAGGGACTTGGCACGTGGATGGAGTGAGAGCTGTGTGGGAGGTGTTGGGCAGGTGTCATTGAGGTGTGGCTTGCTGGAGGTTGGTTGTGGTTTGCTGTGAGGAAAGTGGTCATATAACAAATGACTCACTGTGCAATTCGGTTCTCGCTCTTGCAAGCTCTGTGCCTGAAGGCGCTTGCTGCCTTTGTAGTTAGCTCTGGAATGGGCCCAGTGTATGTGCTAGATGGGCCCAGTGCCTGCCATGATCTGAGTGTCGGGAACTGGACCCAGGGGAATCTGGGTACCTGGGCTGCCCTGCTGGAACCAGTCAAGGGCTGTTCTGCTAGAAGGTTCTGCATCTTTCTGCTTTTCTGTAGGAGCAAGTGGATGCTTTCCAGTCTGGATAGCTAGATACCAACTGTGATTTCCTGCAAGGTGCCCTGGTAAGCCCAGGTTTATGTAGGAGGACACCTCAGTGGATCCTTGCGAATAACTGATAAATGTTAGTTGTTTAGGTGTTTTGGTAGGAATATTTAACCAACTGGATTTTGTCTTGTAACACTACGCCACATGTAGCCCCCTAAGACTTCAGTACTGTAAGGATTAAACACTCTTGGGCAATACCACTGGAAACGGGGTACATTAGAGCCATCCGGATGCCTGGGCTTCTGTGGGCTCGCTTCTCTATAGGGTGGAAGAAGAGAGAAAGTAACTGCAACTCTATTCAAGCACCTTAAACCAGAGGAATTCAGGATCACCGCTATAGGAGCAGAGCCAAGATAGTGGGGGGTTGACTGGGCTCAGCAGGGAACCAACTGCAGGTGGAGACTCATGGTCTGGGGGGTAGGGGTGGGGTGGGATGTAGAGATGACTGGGGGCGGAAAGACAGGACCAAAGTCACTGAGGAGACATCAAGGTCTGACCAGACTCTACGGTGATGGAGGAGGAGGAGCCCAAATGGTGCGGGTCTTTCTAAGCAGACTGAGCAGGGAGCTGCTACCCCTGGATTTCACAAGTACGTGTCCAGAGGAGGCTGGAAGAGGGCACAGGAGGCCGGACTACGGTCTTCGTCAATATCGAGATTGTAAAAACTCCGGGCCACTGCCCTGTTTTCCACCAGTGTTTACATTTATCTGTGCCACACCCCGTGTGACCCGTGAACAGTTGTGCTGGATCCTCAGTGGGCGGGACTAGGGACAACGGTGTGTAAACACACACCTCTGTGGGTCTGGTAGTTTTGTCACCAGTGACTTAGGATGTACTTGGCTGGTTGGGACCCTGTCTCTGAACCTGGCCTGGCAGATCATGCAATGGTGCAACTGGCCACCAGAGGGCACCTGAGCTCTGTGTTGTAATCAGTACCAGGGAGCTGAAGTGACCAGCCAATGTGGCCTGACCCCCCAGGGCTCTGACCACCCACAGGGCTGGGTCTCTATGCTGGACCCCGCCTGTCAGGGTGTCCCACCAGGGCCCAGGAGCCCAACAGCCTACAAGAAGGTCCTGGAGACAGGTGCAGAGGAGGGAGGGAGGTGGGCTGGAGACGCTGCCCTTGAGCATCCACTGATTGTATTGAAAGCCCGACTACATCCCTTTACTTCAGTCTTATACCTTCTTTGTGCCTGGTGTGGCCCTCTGTTCATGCGAGATGTGGGGGTTCAGTCGGCAGGAGCCTAACTCGGGCCTTGGGATCTCCTGCCTGTAACTGTGCACAGGAGGTTGAGCAGAGAGACCATCATAGAACCACAGGGGATGCCAGCCTTGAGGTGCTTTCCCCGGCAGCAGTGTAAACCCACACCGCCAAACTGATCACCAAAGATCGAGCACATGCCCCTCCCCCCCGTTCTAACTAGGGACAGGGTATGCATCTCTTTTCTCCATAGCTAGGGAGAGCAGGCTCTCCCACCCGCCTCTCAATCCCTTCCCCACCTGCCCTAGTAAGAGCCTCTTGTGGCCACTAGATGCAGTGCAACGGGTGGCCACACGGAGGCAGCAGAGGTTTGCTCGTGTGGGCCCAAACCTGGTGCGAGCATGCCCCCTGCTTCGCCTGTTGGGAGGGTGCAGTTGCTTCGGGAGTAGTTTTTTTTCTCATGCTTCGATTAGGTATGTGCTTTTGAGAGGAGGCGAAGTGATAAAACCACGTCTGTGCTCACATCAGGTGGAGGGCACCCGCCACCACGTGACCCCTACCCATCTCTACCACTGTGGACCTAGATCACCTGTCTGCACCAGTGTTTGCCGCATCTCCATGTTAGTCTCCCCCTTTTTCCAAGTTCTTTGGAGGACATCCATAGGATGCTGCTCCTTCTACAAAAATAAAGGATGTGATGCAGGAAGGAGAGAGGAGGACCAGAAGGAGCTGATGCTGGAGGAGGCCGGTTTAGTCCCCAGCACCCTGGAGGGAGGGTTGCTTCTGGGCTCAAACTTCCACCCCGGCACAGGAATCACATGGTTTAAATAGAATGAGGTTTGTGAGACGGAAACAGAATACACATGGTTTGGAAGATAGTGTGCTTTTTGCTTCTCCTTGTGGCCTGGTTGTGAATGTTCTCTCCCCACACAAAGGGAGACCCCGGGGAAAGTCTGTGAAGTACTTATTCACACCAGCAGAGGCCTCTGGCATCTCTTGCTGGGAACCGGCCAGCATGCACATTTGGTCAGGAAAGAAACACATTAAAGACTAGAGGAGCTCAGAGATCAGGGACAAGCTGTGTTCACAAGAGATAGGGGAATGGGGAATCCTGGAGTTCAGAGATACCCAGATAAACTACTCAGAAATCTCACACAGTATTGGAGAAAAATTAATACTAGATTCACTGATCTGGAAATACCACAGCTCTCAAGCAAACCCACAAAATGATTAAACCATTTACAGTTTACAAACTAATTAAAATACATGTTTAGAAAAATAGGGAAAAAGTTAACAACTGAGAAGACTAATATTCACAGTGTTCACGTCCACCTTTCAAAAAGGTGAGGAGAAATTTTGACTCCTTAGAAACTGCCCCACAGTAACATGGGGACCAAATAGAGGAAGTAAAGATGTGGTAATGATCTTTTACATACCCCAAAGCCGAAGAAAGGATTGTTCAGGGGTATGCTGCTGCTTCCTCTGTTTCCTCCCAGGTGAACTCACAGGCATCACCCTTGCCTCTATCCTCTACCTCAACCTCAGGTGACACATAGAGGCCCACCCCTGTCACACCCAGTGTCTGTTACCTAAGTCCCCAGGTTGCCTAGGTAGCCACCAGGGCTAGGAGCCTGAGGAAGCCCTTTGATCTCTGCCAGTGTTTCCTTGGCTGGGCAGTGGCCACAGCAGAGGGTTCGAGCTTCACCCAGGGTGCCATCCCCGAGCTGGGACATGAAGCTAGCAGAAAGACCTATGATCCCCAGGGTCCTCCTCTTGCTGGTTACACTCTGGATGCTCCTGGTTCCAGGCCGGTGTTCTCAAGACCGTCCATCATGGCGTTACATCTCTTCAGAGGTGGTCATTCCTAAGAAGGAGGTCCACCGCGGCAAAGGCCTCCAGGTGTCAGGACGGCTGTCCTACAGCTTGCGTTTTAGGGGCCAGAGGCACGTCATCCATCTGCAGAGAAAGACACTTCTTTGGCCCAGACAGTTGCTGCTGATGACTCAAGATGACCAAGGAGTCCTGCAGATGGATTACCCTTTTATCCCTTCAGACTGTTACTATCTTGGCCACCTGGAGGGGATCCCTCAGTCCATGGTCACTGTGGATACCTGCTTTGGGGGCCTTAAAGGGATCATGAAGTTGGATGACCTGGCCTTTGAAATCAAACCCCTGAAGAATTCACCCAGGTTTGAACACCTAGTTTCTCAGATAGTAACCGATGTTAATGCAGTGAAGACTACACAAACCCTGGGGCGTAAGGAGCGTACAGACCTCCACTTCTCCACAGCCAATCCTGCTGTGGTTCCCAGAATGTCTAGCAAGGACTATGCTTCCCACGCAGGAGCTATGAAAAGCCAAGTTCAAGCAGTCCTAGAAGTATACAAAATGAGTAACAATTTGACGGCTTGTACCAGGTATATGCTGGAGATATTTAGTTTAGTTGACACCTTTTGGCAGAGTCTTCATGTACAATTTTATATTTTTATCTTAACCATATATAACGTTGTTCAACCATTCGACGTTTCTTATGACGTACCAGGAGGTGCCAGTCACACTTACTATGTGACTAACTTTTTTAACAAGTTGAGGCCTGATGTGTCCGTTCTGGTTGATAAATCAGGGCCCCAAGATGATGCAAGTTACCCAGTTTCGGGAAGTATGTGTGGGTCTGATGGCCTGGTTACTGTTGGCATACTTCACAGAAATGTTTTGGGGGTAGCTATTGCAGCAACCAGACGCCTTGCTCTGAGCGTAGGTCTGGAGTATGATAATCCCGAATACTGTATTTGCCAGAGAAGGGCCACCTGTATCATGTACCCGTACCCCATTTTAACAGACGCTTTCAGCAACTGCTCCCTTGTGAAGCTACAACAAATAGTCAGCGTCCCCGACGATTTGGCCTGTATTTTCCATCAAAATTTCGTGTATCTTAATAAAAGTATAACACACGTTCGCTGTGGAAATGGCATCGTGGAGGAAGCAGAGGAGTGTGACTGTGGATCATTCAAGTTTTGCTATGCCAACGAGTGCTGCGAAAGCGACTGCAAGCTCACGGCTGACAGCATTTGTGACAAGGGAACGTGCTGTGCCAACTGCACCTACACTCCTGCAGGGACGCTTTGCAGAACTATCGAGAACATATGTGATCTGCCAGAGTACTGTGATGGACGCAGCATCACATGCCCCAAAGACATTTATTTGCAAGATGGAACCCCGTGCACAGAAGACGGCTATTGCTTTCGCGGGAACTGTACCGACCGGAACATGCACTGTAAGGAGATCTTTGGAGCAAACGCTCACGACGCTGCCAAAGTCTGCTACAGCATCAACAAGGAAAGATACCGATTTGGGCATTGTTCAAGAGAGGAGACGAGCCTCAGATACAAGGCTTGCACTAGTGCAGATATGTTCTGTGGAAGGCTGCAGTGCACCAACGTCACCCACCTTCCACGGTTGCAGGATCATGTTTCATTCCATCAGTCCGTTCTTTTTGGGGTCCCATGTTTTGGGCTGGATGAACACCGTGCGTCAGGAACGACAGATGCCGGAAAGGTGAAAAGCGGTGCTCTGTGTGCATCGGGAAGGTTCTGTGACCGAGGTTCTTGTAACGGGTCTGTGTTTAAGCTGAAGTATGACTGCACCCCAGAGAAGTGCAATTTCAGAGGAACTTGCAATAGTAATCGCAACTGCCATTGCCATGTAGGCTGGAACCCTCCACAGTGCGTAGGAGAGGGACCCGGCGGGAGCATAGACAGTGGACCTCTTCCAAGGACATTCCGCTCCGTAAGACAGAGTAGGCAAACGGTGGCATACTTAAGAATGATCTTTGCTCGTATTTACACCTTCGTAGCCTCGCTGCTCTTTGGGTTCGCCTCCAGAATAAAAATTCTTAGGCTTGTCAAGGTTGAGGAAGTCAAGCTGCCACCTGGTCATCCTCTTGCTGCTCCTACTCCCACGGCTACTGCTGCAGACCGGTAAGAAAAACGAGGCGGCCTCCTGGCCCTGTGAAAGCAAGGAGAACGCAGGAAGGACGTCTGAATGTCAGTGGAACACGCGCAAGTCTCAAGCCCACAGTTCTCGGCTTCTGTGGGGCACACAAGGGTTTTCTCTCACATCCTTGGGACGCTGGGGGCCTTGGCTTCTGAAGCCAGCTGTCTTTGCTGCTGTAGTGATACTCTGGAATAAATCTTTCAGAACTGCACATTGGTTTCTTCTGCACCTTTGATAAACTGTGAGGAGCCCTGCTGAGCTTTCCTCTCTTGTAGCAGGAGGAGACCTGAGTTTGGGCCTGAGGGTTTTGGCTTGGGGTCTCTGGTCTCAGGATTAGTGGAAGTTGTTGGCACCTCTTAAAAGCATATCCAGAATATTTCTATGAGACACGGTTCTGGAGCACTGAGCTCTCCCCAGTGTGTGGCGTGCCCCACCCCTTGTCACCATCTTTACCAGGTTCCCCCCTTCCCACAGCTTATGGATGAGACTTTCCGGGAGACTGCTCACAGGGTGCTGAAGAGGTGTGGAGGGAATGAACGCAGAGTTCAGATTCAGTTGAAGAGACTTACAGAAGTGGAACTAATGCTAGTCAGGCAACTGATGTTTAGAATGCATGAGACACAGACCCATGGATCACCAATCAAACCACTCATACTTCATGGAAACTGCCTCTTCAGAGTCCCGTTTCTATAGGAATGGGATGCTTGCTATGGCTCCTTGCTGCTCTGACCCATGCTCTCATACTTCCTAATAAACTCCAGGGAAGACAGGTGGGCAGCATAACAGCCACCCCTGGGTCGCTAAGCAGGAAGGGATAATGGGACCAAGTTTTTAGTATGAATGTGGAGCCTATGCAGATGAAACCCTTCAGGAGGCCACAGAGCCCATTCACTGAATCTTTAACCCAGACAACAGCTCACTAAGGTCTTTTTCTTCCTTGTATGTATAGTTTCTGATGCTGTATCTGCCTTAGCCGCTGAGTGGATATTTCTCTTCTAATGTTAGAGAAAGGCAAGGTTCATCTAGCACGGTGATCACTAACCACAGCCACAGCACCTGTGACTGAGCTGTGTAAGGATTGACCACAGGAGACCTTGTTGCTGGACTCTTTCCTGGAGGGAAATCATAAATGATGTCTATACTCCTAATAAGGTCCCAACAACAAATCGAAGTTTGAAACTATCTAAGTTCACCCTGGGGAGCCAGTGAGTTCATTGGGCTTACCTCCAGAGCCTGGGTGAGGAGTTACTGGCAGGACCAGAGGTGACCCCAAGGCATCCACCCTGGAGGTTCTGCACTGAGCATAGATGATGGCTCCTTCATGGCTGCGTAGAGGAGCCCCTCTCAATTAACCTTCCCCAACCAGATCTACATACCAGACCTGAGGTCATGTACCATTAGGGCAGAATTGGATACAAATGGAGACGTGGCTGGAAGCTAAGGAGAGGATCCAGTGTCCTTCTCCAAGCCCTCTTTTAGGAGGGAATGCCACTGTCCACAGGCCCAATCCTGATGGACTCTTGCCTGTAGGCACAGCTCACCTTATGAGGATAGCAACAGTTTGTCTCAGAGAACAGCACCTTCCAACATTCTACCCCTGGGCCTTGGAAGGGGTGACTTGAACTTACAATAGTCTGACTGTTCTCTTCCAGTTCTGGTGCGGTACCAAACCTGTCTGCCTGCTCATTCATCTCTCTGTCTCCAGAATACAGCTGTTGGTGGGTCTTGATGGCATTGTTTTTGCTACAAAACTCAAGTGAGGGAAAGGAAGAAAATGAGAAAATGCCCACATCGTCACTGACAGCAGTGATAACCTATGACCATAAACACAGATGCTGGGCTGCTTCTCAGCCAGTACATCATAATCATTTACCAAAGGTACAGCGGCTGCTGCTCGTCTCGGGCCTGTGACTTCCCTGGCCACAGGTTTTTGTCCAAGTTCCCAGTACCAGATGTGAATTGCCCCTGTGAAGTGGGTCTTGACCAATCAGAAAGCTGGCTTTATCCATACCCACTCATGGCATTATTGCAGCAGCTCACAGGTCTTGCCTGACTCTCTTCCACCATGAAGCATGCAGGATCCAGGCGCTACAAGAGTTAGCCTGCAGGGAGGGAACAGTTCTGGCTCAGTCAAGTCTTGCAACCCAAGCATTCGAGGTCTTCAGGGCTAGGGCTTTACCACTCAGTTTGGGAATACAGCCGACATCCTAGCTATAGTCATTATTGGTTGAGGAGCCTGTAGGGCCTTTGTTCAGTAGCTCCCAGGGAGATGATTCACCAGAAGCACTGGGATTCTAAGAACCTTATGTCTTCTGGGAGCCTCTGTTCTCATTCTCACAAGATAACTTTGTTCACTTTAGTATCTATGGGCCCGGGCTGCTGCAGAGGGTATCACCTGTGTCTTACCTAGCCATAAAGCTCCTAAGAATTTCATGACTGAACCTGGCCCTTGCACCCTTTGTGAGCTGATTTCTCATCCTTACTCCTTCAGATGCACTCACGTGTCTCTTAAATGGGTCTCCAAATCTGCAAACTACTTAAAGGTTAGCAATATGGCTTCTATATATAGTAAAATCCTTTTACAGGAGATGGGCAAGACAACAAGGTGAATTCCTGGGCCACCATTCCATAGCAAACCATGGGCTTATGGAAATAAGCTTGATGAATCACTCTGACATGCTATTGTCATCTGTTTTGAGCAAGTGTCAGGTGATAGGAGAAGTTCACAGTTAAGACAATAAAGTAAATGGTTAGCAAGGTCTAATACAGCGTACGATGCCACTGGTCCATATAAATTGACTGCCTCATCCAGGAGCACTTTCATAGGGCCTCTGTGCATTTTTCTCACCCCTGAAGAACTTGGCATGTCTGGCTGTAGCTGCTTAGTTTGACCTAGGGCAATGGGGGAATTGTGCCCCACCTCATTGGTTATGCGTGCACTCGCCTCCTTGGCTACCCTGCCTGGCAATCCAGCCTGGCAGTGTGAGCTGCTGCCTGGACCGAAAAAGGACATTGCATTAAAAGGATAATTATTCTTCCTCTTTTCAGTACAGCTTAAAGTGAACCCGCTTTCCTGAGGGCTGGTGGACCTGTGGCTAGCATAGCACCTCAGCTGCAGCTAGCTCAAGCCTCTCCATTGGCCATACCTGGCTGCTGAGAGCCCCTGGCTGAATGAATACTCTCTGTGCCCAGGAGAGCAATGTTTACAAGGGTGGCAGCTGCCCATTCCCCAAGTCAAACTTGATCCTTTTTTACCTGTATGACTCTATCACCATATCTGTCGGCTGGTGTTCACTGCCTGTGATGTTCTTGGGAGCCTTGAGGAACCACGCACAACTCGAATATTCTGAGAACTCATAATTTCACAATTCAGTGTGGGCCAGAGTCCAGTCAGCCTGCATGGTCCTTACCTGCAGGTGCCTCTAGCTACCTCATTAGGAAAGCAGCTGCTGGGGTTTCCACCTGTCAGAAACTCCTTCCTCCATGGTGGCTGCACGGTGGAGATCATCAAATCCACTAAATTCCTGTCCCTGTCTCCAGGGTCTCTGCTGACCTTTTTCCACCCTCTGGACAATGCGTCCCACAGCTGGGGCACCAGATATCATCTTTCAGTTTTTTCTCTATCACCTTTGACCTTTGCTTTGGGTCTCCCCAAATGCTATCCAATGCTTCCCCTGGGCTCCAAGTTTTTGGATTCAAGGAAGGGCTCCTTAACACAGTGGCACAGCAGCAGTAAAGGCTCACTAAGGGAAAACTAGTTCCTTCTGGTCAAGAGGATGAAATCTCTGGCCTGGGTGGACACCTAGCATTCCAGTTGGGCTGATCAATCACCTGGCCTTCAGGAATGTGGGCTCAACTTAAGCCATGCTAAAGAGGTAGGTGGAATAATTATCCCCTTGATGAGATATACTTTTTCTTTCCAGAATTCCTGTCCCCTAGTGAAGTCCATGCAAGTCAGCACAAGGTTTTGTCAGTCTGCCTGCCTTTCTGAGCCCGGTGCAACTTTTCCTTTATCTTTTATCTCTTTGTTTCCAGATGTTGGCCAGAACCCAAGTATGTTTTATTCTGGTACTTTCTACTCTGTACTCCTATTCGTTCTCTGAAGCCCCCTTCCCGTCATGTGGCAGACCTCTGTGCTGGCTTAACTCGGGTGGCAGACCTCTGTGCTGGCTTTTTTCCTTCTTGCCTCCATCCCCCTCTGAGCAGATGTTGACATGTACAACTTGCCTGCCCTGGAGTTTTTCTTTTAACCTCGAATAAAATTGTCCTTGAGCCTCTGTCTTAAATCTTTTTAGTAATGAGACTAAGAACCCCAAGAGGGGACCCCCTTTTTCTCAGTATCAATAGATCTGATTGGTGTTCTCTTTACTGTTCAGGGCCACTGCCAGCCCCAGTCATGAGCAACTGCAAGTCATTACCTCCAGCTCCCCATCTCTTTTATC